GTATATTTGATACGAACATTTTATGCATATATTTGGTTATATATTTTATAGCCACGTAATTTATACGCAAATACGCTATTATATATACTATAACAATATTCGGTGGATTGCAGAAATGAAAAATTTAAGGTTTCGCGATTCCATGAAACTGAAACTCTTGTTCTATGTACACGGCGAGACAGCGTACGCTCTGTACCTCCATTTTCAAGAAAATGCAGTACCAACACGTTTAGGTAAGAATTGGCCTGGTACGCGCCTACGATCAACTTTCTGCCTTATTCTGATCGGAAACGAAACATCTCTCGTGAACAAATTTTATCGTACATTTTCCACGTGTCTCCGCGCGTACGATAATCTCCTTTGATACCTTATAATCTGAATCGTCGATGCGAAGGAATTGGAGATTCGCTAAAAAATTTAGTGGGCGATCGCTAAAGCTCGGTGGTTCCCTGTACAAGCTGTACACCTACGAGAAACGGCCGGCGACCCCGACGCACCGCTCTTTGTCCTCTCGATTCTCTCCTCTTTGCTTGCTGTCCTCGCTCCCTTTCTTTCCTTCCTTCCAACCGTGATCCTGCGTCCTCCTTCCTCCCCCCATGCTCCTCGTTTCTCTCTACATCTTTATTGTTCCTCGTGTACCATGGAACAGCCGGTCCTTTCTTCGCCGATCACGTTGCTCCTTGCAAGTTATTTCCTTTTACCCTGCATCCTTAGCCATTCATTTGCCGTTCAAATATATTATTTTCAGTCAAAAACCTATCCTTCTTAATTTACCAACTAAAAATAAAATTGTTGTTTGGCGCTATCAGTCCGCACAGGTGCGTCTTTACGCTGCTGTTCGTGAACAATTTCTTTTGCCCGTTTATTAATTGTTTGCTTACTGTTCCCCGGCAATTGACCATGTTGTACATGTTCGTGAACATTGTCCAAATAGCTACGAACACTATTATCTAGATATCTCTAGTGCTCACGGTAACATGTTGAGTCATTGAGCACGGATGACTATATGGTAGTGTCATAGCCCGGTTGATCCCGGAGACGGGTGACGCCACGTTGGCGTCATCTGCAGTCAACGTTTTAACAGTTAACACGTTACAGGCAGAGTAGTTGCTCGAGTAATTTCCATCAGTGACTGGTCCTTTTTTCAGTAATCGACGACAAATGATTTTTTCTGGGACACCAGTGTGGACTCACCAGTGTGGTCATTTTAAAGTATCGAGAGAAAGGAATCTCGGTCATACTGGATGACCAGTGACAAAATTTGGCTCCCCAACCAATGCGTCGAGGATGAACGAATCTCAGAAGATTCGAATCTAATCGACTGAACTCGCTGAACCGACTACTACCGAGAGTTACATTCGAATCGCGTGATTCTTTGCCTATTTACATTGCTAAATCTACTTTATCCCCCGACCATTCCCTTCCCTTCTTTGGCAGAGTTTCTTCAGAAAATCGCCAATTTTCTCAAGCTAAAATGCTTCTTATTCTCCTTCGTACAAACGTCACACGATGATTTTCAACGCAAAGGTACGAACACAGAGCGACGTACGTATGCAAAACACAGGCGAACCCGTTTCGTCAGTTAGATAGGCACGTAAAGGTCCGATAATCGAAGGCGGGATTTTCATTACGTAATCTCAACCTAGTTTAAAAGCGCTTCTATGACAGAACAAAATGAGGAAACTACGTTCTTTAAAGTACTCGTTTTTACGCAGACTTCCTTCGGGCGAACAGAGGCTCGAACGAAACGGATCTCGATAGAAGTTAGCGTAGTACAAATTCCGAATGTAATATTTATGTACGTTTTCCAATTTAAATCCCGCGCCGTTTCGAACTCACTTCGATACAATCGCAATCAAAACGATACTAAGTCGGAATTGAAGCATCGTACGGACAAATCAATGAAAATAGATAAGAAAATAAAAGGGAATTTATAAATAACGCTTAAATCTTTCATTATGAAGAGAGTATACGTAATAAGTAAGTATATTTATATATATAAGCTTTTAGAAATATAGAACAATCATTTGGTAAAAGCACTTGACTAATTTCTATTATATTTCATTAATTAAGCAATTATATAGAAGGGGGTCAATTATCAAAACGCCGAGTGACAAGACAATTGATTGATGGAAAATTTGGGGACAATCGCTCGTAAAAAAGGTGGAGAAATAAGAATAGAAACTGAAATAAAGCGTTACGTTTTTTATTCTATTTAATATTGATTTTTATAAGATAGGCCAAAATAAATTGTCTGTCAGATAAAAGCATTGTTATTCGATTATTCGGACGTAGCTCATATTTAGTTTGGACCTGACCCCAACCTAACCTCAAATATATAAATGTTTAGATATTTTTTATTAGCAAACACTGCTACGATCTATGTATAAAAATAGTTAGCATATTTTTAACAAAGCCACGTTCTACGAAATGTAATACATTACACATCAATCAATTCGCTGTAACGAGTAGAAAAGTCTTGGGAAAATAAACAATGAAAAATTCTAAAATTAACCAACATGTTTGTATCTAATTTCTATCTAATTTAATAGGAAAAAACACTATTGATAATCAATTTTGGATTATTCGAAGTAATATTCATATTATATTTATTTTCAAATTCAAGCATTAAAGATATTAGAAAAAATCGACTCGTCGAAAATTATCTCGTTCTACCTTTGTTGGCCAGAAATTGATCTAAATCGACTAAACTCCACTTCCCTTGTTTATTTTTATTGGATATAAAACTATTAGCGCGTTTCTTGATAATAACGAATGGAATCGATTATTATATCGAATTACGTAGGTATTTTAATATGAAGTACACACAGAAAAAAAGTGACAAATCCTTTTAGAAATATGTGGATTATACATTTACAAAGTTTCATAATAAACCAGTGGCATAGTGTTACATCAATATTTTCGAAATGTTCGGGACAACGACGAAGATATATATTTAATACCAAAGTTGAATAAATGTAAAATTGAATGACACATATTGAATTTTAAACTGTAATTTATCATATTTTTCTCTTGCGATCTTCGTATGATATTTCATTGGCTAGAATGCAATCAATACATATCTATCCGTCATCGTTGAAAAATACGAATATTTTTATAATAAAATATTTTAATAACAATAATCTATCGCAGAATAATTTTGACATTTTCGTAATATACGCATTAAAAGAATCGATTGCTATATAATATATATTGCTATAATTTATCGATATATAATATATTATATTTTGTGAAAACGTGCCTCTTCTACAAGCATAGCAAAGTGCTTTTAGTTCCTAGAGTAGCACAGCGAAAACTTAAAGCTAAAGAATAACAGGAAAAGTGAAAGCTGTACAGGTTGGTAGCATCGGTGGTTGGTATCGTTGGTAGCGTCAACGGTGTCGGTAATTCACGAATCAGTTTTTGTCGTTTGACATTTTGCATAATCCGAATCGACTTGTTTACTTCGGTTCACGGTCCACGACGGTGTTTGAGAATCTCGAACAACAAAGGCGGAAAAAAATGGACTGGTAGGGAAACAAGAGAGGAGGAAAAAAAAGAGAAGCCATACTGCGTGGCGCGCGCGACGACGTTGCTGTTACTGCTGCAGCTTAAGCTGCATTCTTTCGTGAGAAGGAAAAGAGCAGAAACGTTAGAGCGAGAAAGTGTGGGGGAGGAGAAGAAGAGGGTTGACAGACGGGGACAAGGAGATGGTGACGAGAGGAGAGGAGAGAGATGGAAGGGGCAGGGTAAGGAGGGAAAAATCCGAGGAATGTACCAAGAGAGCACTTTGAAATCGGTTGGCAGTGGTTTAAGATTACGCCGAGTAAGGTTCCTCGAAGGCCTCTCTCGAATCTCCTCCAACCGAATCCTTATGCGGCCAAGTCGGCGAAATGGAACGCGACCCTGATTGCCGCCGCGCAACCCGACGTCTCACGTTCAAACGAATCTAGCATCGATTAAACTTAATAAAAAGCTAACGTGTTTCTCTCGACCTGGCGATCAGCTTCTTTCAATAGACCTCGATAGAAAGAATTTGCGTTCCGTCTCATCTCCGCTTCCTCCCACTGCTACAATTAAATTCAATTATACCTCCCCACTCGTCTCATCGTCACACGCAATAACGTATCGACAGGAGATCGATTCGTCGAAAATCCTATTTCTTTGCTTATTGTGTTATTTCGATTTGTTAAATGATAGAGTTATAAATTTACGATCTTGTGATATGTGGATGTTGTTCATTGAAAAGAACGCAAGGTAGTAAAAGGAAAAAAAGAAGTTGAGGAAATATTGGAAGCTTCTCACGGGCAAAGGCGCACCCTTTCTATCAAAGTATCGCTACGAGTGTAACTTGGTTCCCTCAGTTTTCTCAGGGTACGCATTTCGTATCGGTCGACGCTATACCTTGCTACCCGATATCTCCAACCAAGAAAAACAGAACCTTGCTACTGGTTTTGCGTTACGAAAGTGGAAAGAAGACATGGTTCGAGCGTTCGATGCGAACCGACAACATCTTATCACGTTCCCAGACATTCCTTTCGTTAACTAAACCTGTCGGTGGATAAAACTGTACGAGAAGATTGATATCTAGATACATTCACCCGACTTGCCCTGAACATTTCGAAATTATTATATTAATCGAGTAGTCTCTATTGAAAGAAAACGAGAGATTGGGATAGAAAACGCATACCGATTCGTACGTTATTTCTAAGCGTCGAGAGGCCTCTCAGAGATATACTTATCTTATGAACGCGGCCTAAGGCCCCAGTTCCCCCCACCCTATTGCACGACTGGCCTCGTCGACGGACTACGAATAACCGCGCATGCGCTGCAGGACAAAACGTTATAAACACACGCACCGTTCTCGTTTTCTCGACACATGCGAGTACTACACTCACAAACGCTCTTGCGTGTACACACACAAGCGTGTACGAGCACGCACGTATATACAGGTAGAAAAGCATCACGATAATAGTCTTTGAAAGACACGATCTACTCACCGAGAGCTCCATAAAGAAGCAGGAACGACAGCAAAAGATGCGGAGGCCTCGCCCAGGCCCGTATAACGTGCCTGCTAGCATGCTGTCGCGACATGTTTCCCTTTTCCTCTCTCGTTGGTCCTTTCCCTTGGCTTCCTGGCTGGATGTCCCGGCCGGAGCAACCACGCTGTCGCTCCTTTTTCGTCTTGTCTATCTCGTACGTTTATCACCAATACGAATTCCTTTCCTTGATCGTTGAAAACTTTCAACGATCGCTAAAGTACATCACTACGGGTGCACATGGTTCTCATGATCCTTAGTTTCCTTTTCCCCCTCCTCCCTCTCTGCGTTTCTTCGCGTCACACGGTGAACAAAACACCCGTTACACACTGCACTCGAAGGAACAAACGATAAACCAAAAGACAACACCAGCGAACGCTACCCTCGGAAGACCGACGCCGCAGAAACGCGCCTACCCGACTGAACGACGAGGACGCGCGATTCGTTCGCGGTACCCTGTGCTTTCCAGCTTACTCGCTGCCTGCCTGCCTCCTGCCTGCCTGCCTGCTTGCTTGCTTGCTTCCTTGCCTGCTCGCCTGCCCCGAATACCGTCCCTACCATTCGCGCCCCTTCCCCACTTTAACAATTCCCCTCTCCCGTGTTTCCCTACCTCCCCGCTAGTCCATAGTTCGTGCCGACTCGCCGCTGATCAAACCCCTCTCCTCCGACCCCGCATTACCAATCCCATCGCCAGCATACAAACAGACCTTCTCCCACCACTTGCTAACTACTTGTTGATCTTCCAGGAACGAATAGACGATTCGTCGAACCTCGTGCTTTTACTTTTTCTTATTTTTTGCTCCATTTCCATTTGTATACATAGATTTATTGAAAATGCGATTTAACGTAATACTCGTGACACGAAATGTAAGTATCTTGGGTATAGTAAAATGTTAGAAATTCATAATTGTATTCGCTGTACATTTACGTTGAAGAAATTAGTGGAGCTCACTATGGTATTCTAGTGTATTATTATTTCTTCCGTTCCCTTTGTGTGCTTCTTTATCTTTTATTTTATTTACCTTTTGTTCTGTTTAATTGCACTTTGCGCTTGACCGAAATGGAACAACTCTTTGAAATACATTTCTGGAAATACAGCATTGCATCATTCCTAAATGAATCGTCAGGTTGTTATACCTAGATGAGATAATACAATTACTCGATAATTACCAAATTTTTCGAAGAAATTCGGCGCGTCGTATTTGTACAGTTATCTACCTGTTGCCGCGAACGTGGCCATCGAACGCTATGTGGTGTATGACGGATAGAAAAAGGCGATAAAAATCAATGAAAAGCGAAGAGCGTTGAATCGAATCGAATCGATGTAAGTAAATATCGATATTGATTGTCAGATTCTCAAGCACGAAGTACTTCGTAGGAAATATTGTTCCAGAGAATCTCAAATAACTTCAGTTCACTAATCGTAAGTTTAACCCTAACCTAATCATATTTTTCTATCGTTGGGAAACATTTCAAATTTAAGGAAAACGTAAAAGAATTGTTATTGTCTGATATGCATGACTTTTTATTTGACTTTTACGCTGAAGATATTCTTAAAATACTACAAATTTCTTTTTGAGCTGTGTATAAAGTGAGGTTGGGACATGAAAAAATCAAGAACTGCGGCAAAGTTAATCTATTAAAGACGAAACAGTGAAAATACGAAAATACGACATAATTATAAATGAAAAACAAGGTAAACAACTTACACGTGTATTACGGAATATACAAAATGTATTTACAATAACAGTTGACATCCACTTTGCAAATCCACTACAGATACAAGTCGAACGTACGAAAGAATTTCAATGATTTGAGAAAAGATAGTTAGTCATAATATTCAAATTTTTTGAAATTGTGGAATCAATGTGAGAGAAGAAATAAGAACAGAAAGGATATTAGAGATATCTTTAGGGTTTCCTTGCATAATCACAATCTATTAAAGAGTAGTCAAAAGTAATAACGCAAATTGGCACGAAAAAAGTTGTAAATGAAATATAGCTTTACAAGTGTCCACGCTTCGGTGTCTGATTTTAAACTCCTCGTGTCACATCCACTGCCATATTCTTATACTCTTGCTACAAAGGTGAGGTTATCTCGTATAGTTGAGCTTCGTAACGATTCGAGAGCTAACAAGAGGTAGTCTCGGTATCATTCTTATCTACTTTTGCATTCCCACGTCGCGCAATGACGGTCGCACGGTTGATTCTTACTTGGAGTACAGATTCGCCTCGAGGAAGCTAAATACTCCTCAAACATCACATTTCTATTCTTCCACGCTCACTTGCACAATTAAACTAATATTATTCATGAAATTTCACAAGTCACAATTTATAAGGTATTAACATTAACAAGTTTCCTCGTATACATAACTAGAATAAGTTTATCAATATTAATAAATACTTTGAATAGTAATAAACAGTTTGTTGATAAAGAAAAATGAAAATGAAATTTTACAAATTTCGAATCATTCGATTATCCTATTTGATAAAAAATTGTGAAATTGTAAAAAGGAAGTTCATAACTTATACCTTGTAACCTATTCATTCACTGATATTATATAATATAGTTAATAAATTATTGTGCAAGATTGTCCGGATGTTTATTCACGGAAATTCCTCGATAAAAAAATGCTGCCACGTCATTTCAGTTGGAAAAGTGTAAGAATGTCACGAGGTGTGAATCATAATTGTTCGATGCTGCAACTCGATAGTTTCGCGAGTTCTTTTTTCTCTGTAATATTACTTACGCATCAATACGTAAGCGAGAGCACAGACCATAAAATATTGGCTACTATTATTCTCCTTTTGCTTATGGTTTTTGTTGAATACTGATTTTCGGAAAGTTAATGCGTTTGTAAAAAAAGAAATTTGTGACTGCCAGGTTTTATGCACGTTCGTATTTTTATGAGGACAACTAAAGAAATAGAATTTTAATTTGTTTTACATTAAATGTAGAACGTAAATTAAATTTATTTTGTTACGTTTTAAATATTAGATCATTCCACAAGTAACGCGACCATTTCTCATATACTGGGTGAAAATTAAAAATTACTTGCTACTTGATCAATGTTGGATTTTAACAAATTTTCAACAATCCTTCATATTTTTCTTAACTTTCTTATTTCAGTAAAACTGCAATAATAGCGACATTCATTGCTTTAAGTTCAGCTTTGAAGAGAAGCTGCATTAGTTACAAGATGACCTAATATGACTCATAACAAGTGCTTTACTTTGAATATTTTTGCATATGCAGACTACAAGAGAAAAGCACGTTAAATCAACCTTCTTGTTTTACACAGGGATGCAGTTTTAAAATTGTTGTCAACCAACGCCATGTTAAGCGCATAAATACATATATAGTTTACTAATGGAAATGCTCTGAGAGCAGGAACATCTCTCTTGCGCAATTTTTATCTGTATACGTATCGGTATAACATTCCTACGCAAACGAGAAAATCAATATTTCCCCTCACGATCGAAGCAAGCTAATTTCCCATCTACCGTAATACTGGATCGTAAGAAATGATTTGCAGAAAACATTAAGAGTGCTCTTTAGCTGGCCTATAATGGGCCACACCTTTTCGCATAGAGAGTAATAAGGCATAAAGCAATCTAGAAGATTCATCGGTTCCAACCTGAAAACCAATTGAACTGAATGTACATACGTACATACACTAACGCTTATACATATAGTTGTCCAGGCACTTTGGGCGATTCGTAATAACAATATGTGAATTTTACCAAAATGTACAAATTAATGATAAATTAGTAATTAGAAGCAACACTCACTAACTTCTTACAGAATCATCAGGCTATAGATCTAAATTGTCTATTAAAAGACATAGCAATAATATATTTTACTACTTATTCGTATATTTATTATTTATGTATATACCATTACACAAGAACTACAAGTAAAAATGCACAGGGAGCATAAAGGGAAGAAACTACGCTAAACGTTCATTGTCGTATTTCGAAAGTATGATCGATGATAATTATTCGCATGACGACAGTGTTGCATTTATCACCAATTTTGATTATTCTACTGTTAATCGATAGACAGTGGATATGCCGAGTTTGTCGACCCGTAAACCTATTGTTGCTCGTATTCCCAAAGGACACGACTAACCAAAGCTCGACGAACCTCTCGCTTTCTCCAAAAGCTATTTTTCACTAGCTACCGTGAAACAATCTTCGCCTATGTATTGCACAGTTAGCTTTTCAGCTGGGCCAAAGGAACACCAAACAACTTGTAACATCAGATCAGGCAACGAAACGAAATTATCGGACTAATCAGTTGTAGGCTGTGCATGGAATTCTAGAATCTGTAACTGCAATTGTTAATTGGCCTGTTTCTGATCTCGTTTCCTTCCCGTTTACATAGGAGCATGAAACATGAATTCATCCAGCTCGATAAGAGCTTTGTTATCCAATTCGCGGTTCATTTCTTGGTGTCCTCGACTGTTATTAGTTGCGCAAAGATCAAAGCGTAGGTCGTAGGTGGTCGTGAGGAGATAGAAAAAACCGATCATTAATGGATCTCGTTACAATTACGCGCGTAAACTTTTTAACAGCTTTTAGCATATCAGTTTACTCGTTTACCTTGTATTTCGTTCGTTTCTCGCCAAACTGCCTTTCCTCTTCCAATTTCGGACAGAAATACAGACAAAAATTTGAACATTTGCTTAATTGTGATTTAATGTAATTAGAAAATTATAAATGAAAAGATTTCTAATTATCTTCGTCAATGAAACGAAAGCAAACGGAAGAATATCGCATTCTAAAAATATGGGTACCAGAATGTAGTTTACCGTGTTAAAGATCCCCTTAATGAATACAATGTACGAGTAATAAGCATCTACTTATCCATAAATTGTTGATTTCATTGCGTCATTTTGTGATCACCTATATCGTAAAGTTTCTATGATCGCGTTACGCCGCACCGCGATGCCATGTTATTTATTTAATTGGCTATATTTCATCAGTGGTAATATTATTTATCGAATTTCTATCAGGCCAATGTAGGTAATTAAATCGCGCGTTTCGTTAACGATAGAATTAATGGACGAGGATTGAAATCATCGGAAGGGGTAATCCGAAAAGCAAATTACGGAAATATTTGCCACAATTCCAAATGCTGTGAAATCTGCTACTCTACCTTTTCGTCGGAATTATATATATAGTAAACACAGCAAAGCGGACTTCCTTAATCCTTTCGTCTCTAGTGAGGTATATACTCTATGGTACACAAGTATTTGAACACCTACAATTAGTGCAATTCGATCAAAAAGATATTTTTATTATATCTTCAACGCTACGATAGAGGAATATTTCGCTATTGTTAATTGTTTACTATACGCTATAACTGGCGATCAAAATTCTCTGTTAAATTTAAATTAAATCAAGGAAAGTACCTGTATCGCTCTTGTTCCATGCGTGTCAGTAACGGATGATTGACACGTGGTACAATTTATATAAACTTTTAGAACATAGTTGGAAACAAACTCTAATTCTTATGGAACTTTGTAATTCCACGTTTAACTGCGATAAACGGCTGACAGTTAAAATCTCCATAAGAACTATATGCACTTTAGAACGTAGCTAAAATACACATTTATTTCGTTCTAAAGTCCAAATATGGAACAGATGCATTTAGGATCACTGAACTCGGATGTCTATACAGACTCAATTTTCATCCACTTTCGATTGTTTCACCATTTAGACTAATTAATATCAACTATTGTTTCACCAATGTCTATAAATTGTGTATGGTCGCCTGAAATAAGATCAGATTAGGTTAAAGAGCTTAATTTGAACTGTATTTTATATATTTGTATTAATTTGAAAGTGCCTAAACATTATGTAAAAAATATGTATTAGAAAATGGCCCATTAAATAATCAAAGATATTGAATCTAAATGAAAGAAAAAAGATAGCAGCGAAGATGATATTTTCGTAATCAAAATGTGAATTAACTAAAAAGAAATTATAAATTAAGTGTTATGTTAATACAACGTTGGCCCGTAATAGGTTAAAGAAAGAAGGATGGGTTAAAAACTGAATAGAAAAATGTCAGCTAGGGAAAGAACAAGCAAACCGGAAAGAAATATATTCGATAGGGTACGCGGTAGATTGTGATCGATGTCTATGAAAATTCTTTTGTTTTGTAGCACGTACACATAGTTTACGACAGACAAGCATGAGAACGAAATATTAGATTTTCTTCTAGCAAGAACAACGAAGTAGAGTTGACTCTCTGTATTCGCCATCGACGTGTTCCATTGATTGCTTTGGACGGCTTTGAACGGAAATCACACACGATTGTACAATCGATGCGGCGTCGTTTTCCTCTCCGTCTACTTTTATCGAAACTTTTCAAATCATTGCCTACTCGGATTCCGATGCAATATCGTACACGTAAACTTCTTCCTTTCCGTGCAACCAGCTTATTCCAATTCATTTAGAAGAAGTTGTCGATTGTGTACAAATAGAATTTAAACTTTATCATAAAGTTTAACGTTCCCATTTCTACAATAGGTTATATTAAAATCTACATAGATTATATTCTACACCTTTCAATTATAGCGATTTTATACAATTTATAACATTCAATAACGGCGCGGCATTAACCACAAGATCTCGGTAAACGATCCTGTCTGTAAAATAATACGTACGTACCAGGTAAAAACTATTTTGATCGTTTGGCGACATCTATTACTTACTGACAAATCACTGAATAGATGGCGCGGCCTGAAAACGCTAAAACAAAATCTTAACCTCTTAACAAAATCTTAAAATCTTAAAATAATTAAGTACAGAATAAATGGCCTTAGTTTTAGTGTATTTATGAAGATCGATGTATCTGATCGATATATTTATTCACAGAAATAGGTTTTTGTTACTCTCTTCGTTCCTTTCGTCGGTCCTTTTACTCTTTTCATCGAGCGTAATTTATTTGTTTGAATTGTTCATAAATTGCGTTGTGATTTTGCGAGGCAAACCTATGTGTCAGTATAAAATTCTATACTTCTTTTATGATTATAAAATATCTTTTCTATATCTTGGTTATAATTTCATAGAAGACTTTAATTTTAATTTAAACCGCTACTAGAGCCGCTGCTATATTGAATCGATAAGGTAGCGTGTGATATGAAAATGGTAAGGTAGGCAGGTAACCGTAACCGCCAAAACATGAAACACGAAATAGCATTGCATATCATGTCTACTCTGTGTCTCGTCTGTGTTTAAATCAACTTTTGAGGTTAGCTGTCAAAGTATAATAATGTTCATCGTTACGAAAGAAATTGACAGCGAAAATATTGGTAAATTATGCCGTACTTGTCTAAGAGAGGATGGCGACAAAATGGTTTGTTTGTTCGTGGGACCGGCTGAGTCGTCTCTCGCTGCTAAATTGCGATCTCTCTCCTGTCTCGAAGTAATAAACATTTTCAAATTCGCAATTTTTTGATTACCACGAATACGAAATTTGATTTTGTTGCGTCTGAAATGCGTATTTCATTAGGTATGGCAGGGCGATGGTCTTCCAGAAAAAATGTGCGACCGTTGTGTAACCAGAGCGGAATCTGCTCTATTATACAGGGAACAATGTCGTGCAGCTGACAGAGCGTTAAGACAAGCAGTTTTAAAGGTAATCAAATTTAAAACAACGAATAGAAGTATTGACAAAGATCAGATTTTCTTATAAAACCATGTATAAGCATGCTAATAGCACAGCTTCCGATGGGAATGGTTCTGTATACGTGTATTAAAACACATATTTTTCAATTTACCATAGCACATTATAATTTAACTTGGCATTTCAGTGAATTTCAGACTTTATTGTAGCAGCTCTTTCAAGTAATACCAAAATTAGAAAATCTACAATCCATAATTTATTATTCCCATGTGATTGAAAAAATTAAATGAAGAAATATGTTTTTACTTTACACGAGATTTTAGAAGAAAAGCTGATCGCCTCATCAGTGCACGTATGTGCCTTGTTTGTAAAAGGAACGTGAACTTTTGCAAAATGAAAATGTATCGATATTCGTAGGTTTCTGGTCTGGCTTCATACGCAGCGGGTTACAAATTATATCAACAAAATCAGGGTTTCATGCCTGTTCAAAATTCCCATAAGACTTTGAAATGTATAGAATGTGGAGCAGTATTTATGACCTACCAAGAGCTCTGTGCCCACAACAGATCACATTTACCTTTTGTCCAAGACGATATACCTATGCAACATATGCACATAGTAGAATCACAAAATCCATACTTCAATCTTAACTTTGGTCACCTGAGCTCTAATTTAACCAACGAGAGCATTCAACACACGCAATTGTCTCCATTGATTAGGTCAAACGTGATGCAAATGATACCAACGAACGGGGAAAACCCTAGCCGAGCTGCTTGCGCGTTACATTGTTCTTTGTGCAATCGCACGTTCACCAATAGAACACAATTAATAAGTCATAGCATCACCCACAACTCGGAAAGCATAGAAGTGCCCTGCGATAACGAGCATATAGATATCTGCGAGAATTCAAATCAAATTCCTCAAAACTTGAGTTACGAGAGGTCGATTAATTCCGTCGGGAATACTATCCAAAACTTATCTTATCATAGGTCAACGACGAACGATAATAACGAAATACAAAACTTGGAATTTCCAGAAAATATGGATTTGGGAGACGAAGTTCGAGAGGGTAGCCCTCGTGTAAGAAACACAGCGATGTCTGATTCGGATACATATAATATAGCTGTCTATCGCGGTGTAAGATTTGCGAAAAGTCTCGAACGTACGGACAACAGGGAGAGTATCGATAGATATCAATCGTGCTCTTCGAATCTTAATTACAGCAAACAGCAGATCGAGAGCGAACATTCTGAAAATGTGCAACAGCTACAGGCGAAAAAGTACAAATGCGACGTATGCTCCAAGTCGTTTTCTCAAAAATCTAAATTGTTGACACACCGATTCTCGCACTCTGGTCAGCAACCTTTCAAGTGTCCCAATTGCGTGAAAGGTTACTCATCGAAGAGCAAACTAAACGCTCATATGCGATTACACACGAAAACCAATGTACACCCGTGTAAAATGTGTGATAAAATATTTGCATATCCTTCTTATCTGCAGGAACATTTAAAAACACACAGACGAAGCGGCAATAGCAACGGGAGAAACGAGGAGAACAAAGCTTTCGAATGCGTCAGCTGCAAGAAGAGATTCCGTTTATTGAAAAATCTGAAAGCTCACGAACGACTTCACACAGGGAAAGGTCTGATGCGATGCGAAATATGCGACAAGACATTCAGTCGAAATTATAATTTAAAGATTCACTTGAGAACGCATAAAGCAGCCAAACCGCATAAGTGCGAGTACTGTAACAAATGTTTTGTTCAAAAAGGCAATCTCGCCGAACATATGAGAATTCACACGAAGGTAAAACCATTCGAATGTAAAGCGTGTGGAAAGCGCTTCTCGCAGTCAAGTCACTTGAAGAATCATGAAGCATCCCATACTACTGTTAGACAACATCAGTGTCGATTGTGCGGGAAACGATTCAAACTTGCGAATCATTTGAAGAGACATCTGATCTTACACAATGGTACAAAGTCATATAAATGTCATCAGTGTAATCAGTTGTTCTCTCAAGCGTTTAGTCTCACGAGGCACTTGAAAAGGCACGATTCGCATACTTAACCGATGTGTACACTTCTTTTTATATGTACATAGATACATCATCTTAAAAATATACAATTCCATGTATATAAGTATTTTATACTATTTTCAATGATTAATTTTCTCCATTTTAAACGACTGAAGATATTTAATATTTGTACATTCTGAAAGAGGTACAGGTAAACATTGTATTACGATAGATAATATTAGTAGAAAGTAATTGAGATACGATTTTTCATTGCGAGATGTAGATATATGTATAAACTTATTGCTTTTTTAAGCAATGAAAAAAGCAATGAATAAAATATTAATTTTTTAGAGATTTAAAAAAGATCTTTTTTAAAAAAATTATTATCATAATATTTTTAAAAGATTCTTCGAAAGAATAATTAAAGGAATCATTTTTAGAAAATAAATTCACTTTTTGTGTATAATTTGCGTCTCGCATAATGCGATTTTTATAACACGACATTTTCCTCGTATTATAGGGTAGCTCTCGTATTATAGAAGAGTTATCCGTGTAACGATAACTAATTTATTTGTAATTTCTGAGGACAGTGGTGAGTATATCGAGACCTTCTTCGAGTTGTTCTTTCGTGATAGTAAGTGGTGGCGATATCCTTAATATTTGACCATGAGCAGGTCTCGACAGCAAGCCTGCTTCTTTCAATCTTAAACAGATATCCCATCCTTCGGCGAAGTCTGGAAGATATTACAAAATGTAACAAGCAGCAAAGTATACGTACAATATATTATTGCAGGATATTATCGCGGACTTGAGAGTCAATACCTTTATTAATTACTAAACCAGCCAATAAACCTCGACCTCTAAATTCTACCGCTATGTCTTTCGGAAGTTTTCCTAATTCTTTCCGTAGAATTTCCCCAAGCTTACTCGCATTCTCCGCAAGACTTTCTTCCTCTAAAATTTTAACTGCTTCTATAGCGACTCTGTTACCAAGCGGACTTCCACCGAAAGTGCTACCGTGAGATCCAGTTTCTAGGCACATTATTATCTAAGGAAATAGCAGGTTTGACTTAGATTGACGTAACATTAGAAAGATGTGTTTCTATTGCTAATAATTAATTGAAAAACCATTTTTCTCACGGGTTAAATAAGAATTCGATCTTGAAAGGATCAATAACGTGCTGCTATTGTTTCCACTGCAGTTATGTTTACCTGTTCGTCCGCTAAAATACCGGAAACAGGATACAATCCGCCAGACAATGCCTTTCCTAGCACGAGAATATCCGGCCGTTGATTTTCGTGATCTACCGCCAATCGTTTGCCCGTTCTGCATAAACCAGTTTGTACTTCGTCAGCGATCCATAACACATTGTATTTGTTGCACAGGTCTCGTACACCTTTCAAGTAGCCATCCTACATCGAAATGAAAGTTTAGGATTTGGAAAGACGAGAAATGGAACTCCAATTACTGAAACTATTCTTCACGGATCTATACGACCCAAAATGGGTATTATATCTGTCTGTTATCTATTCGACCATTTGTCTATTCAAGTCTGATGGAAGATGAAAATAACATACATTCGGTATTATGACACCCGCTTCTCCTTGAATTGGTTCCATCATGTACGCGCAAACAGTTGGATCCTGCTTAAATTTTTCTTCTAAAGCGTTGAGGTCGTTGTACGGTACTTTGTCGAAGCGAGGAACGTAAGGTCCGAAATCGGTGTAACAATTTGAATCCGTAGATGCAGACAGCGCGGCTATAGAACGTCCCCAGAAGTTCCCTTTTGCGAAGACCACGGTTGCTTGTTCCGGAGGTATCTTCTTTACTCTGTAAGCCCAACGCCTAGCAACCTTAATGGCAGTATCACCTGCTTCGACTCCTGTAATGCAACACATAGACGCGTCTACGTATTTTGCGCTTCTAACTTCTGATTTTCCATTGACAAGTATACGCAAGTATCCGAACACAGGATTACTTTTGAGGAAACACGTTTTGATATATTTGTTACATATTGATATAATTGTTACGTATTTTAATAAGTAACTTACTTAAGTGTATATACTCTGTTATATACTCTATAAAAAGATAGAAAACATCGCTTCTAACTATTAGTTCATTATTGATTTGTACACATTAGTCAAATTCAGATTACTATACTGTATAATTACTATAAATCGATCAAAGTGTCCGGATGCTCGTTACTTTTAACACGCCTTCTGTTCTTTTCTATCTAATTTCTCCATCTTTGAATGTATTTCGTTTTTTTTTTTTTTTCGTACCAGTATTCATCGGCAAGAATTTGTCCCACCCCAGAAGCTTCGACAGATATTCTCCTAGCGCACCGTGAGGCTCCGAATAAAAAGCTCTAGACGTGTGAGCGAGCTTTCCCACTTGTTCTCTCATTACTTTCACCAAACGTGGATGACAATGACCTTGATTCACTGTTGAGAAACCCGCCAAAAAATCGAGATATCGTTTCCCTTCGACGTCCCACAAATAAACGCCTTCGCCTCTTGCAAGAACTACCGGAAGTGGCTTAAAATGTCTACCACCATACATATTATCACGATCAATCAACTCTTGCGAACTCAGGAATCTCTTCAGCTCTACTTCTTTCGTTAAACCGAAGATTCGTGATCTTGTGATCGGCTGCATTTTAAAGATTTCGAATTATAGTACCGCAGTTAATTTAGATTCGTGGAATCGTTCGAAGAAAAGAATCTCTTGCCACTGTGTTTAATTTCAGAGGCTGTCTTACATTTATATCAGGAGAATAAGAAAGAGTAGGGGTGATGTGTACTGCTTATTTACTCGGGATGTTTTTGTATATAATTGATACATATGTCGGTGGGATTTAGAATAAATGCTGTAGCGTAACTGAAGAACTCGTATCTGATAATGAGGGGCATCGTTTATTACGGCGCCACCACGCTAAATCAAATGAGAAACTGCAAACAACATATATCACAATAATCTGATCGTGAAACGATGTATCCGAGGAGATGCACGTTACTGTCGAGTGGTAAATCTGTTATTAAAGAACGTCTCCCAACTGTTAATTCTTTGCCTTTTGTCATAACTGGGATCGAATGTACTGCTAAATTTAAATTCAGACAAGGAATGTATCTGTATCGATTTAGTTCATCAGTAATGAATGGTTGATACCTCGTAAAATCTACATAAACTTTTAGAACGTAGCTACAAACATGTTTCGATCGATTCCAACATTGAATTTTAAAGTCACTAAACTAAACTGAACAGACGTCACTGCAGGAACAATTTTCATCCACTTTCAATTATCGCTCTTTTATTTATACTGTTTAATATTTTCTATCGTTTTAATCAATATCTACTAACTGTATATGGTTATCCGAGATAAGGTCATAGATCAAAATTTGATCGAAGAGTTTAGAATAAGTTCTAGTAAAAAAATAAATTAACGTAAATTTTATATATTTGCAATAATTTGAAACTGTCCGTATACTTCTGGATGGCAATGTACTTGCACGCTTCTAGTGAGAAATAATAAACGCTAACGTACCATCTCTTCATTCTCTCGTTTGTTTTACGATTCTTTCGCAAGCGCGAAACGAATCGAGAACAACAATTATACTCATAATACGTACAATTACCAATAACAAGGATTACGAAGTTTGTATAAGAGGAGGATCATTTGATAAAAAAATATATGTCGTGGCATTCTTTTTCGTTTCCGTTTATTTGCCGTTCTTTCTAAAGTCTTTCGAGTCGACATCCGATAGGAAATTAATTACGTATGACAAATGCGACTGTATCATAAAACAAGCGATTGCCAATATTGACCTACAATGTTCAAGCGCGATATTATCGCGAGTTTGAGCCAGTATTCGATGTCTGACAAGCGTCGGAACAAACACTGATCTCGTGACAGTACAGGATAGAACCGTATCACGTATAGCTATTAATAACCAGTATATAACTAATCGGGCAATATTTTTTCCTCTGTACATGCGGTGCATGCGGAAGATAACAGCTTCGACAGCTTTCGGTACATGTTCTTGGTTCGATTTTACCGTGTTTAGCTTCGTCGATCCGCAGTCTATCTGAATTATGTGGACGGCTGAGAATAGTGATCGCATAGTGGTGAAAGTTAGTTCACTGTTACTTTCTATGAAATGAGGAAAGAGAAAAAGAATAAAATGTGACTTTATTAACATCTTTCAGAAATTAGAACGGAAACGGGATCGAGGCGGATTTTCCAAGTACGTAGAATGTATGGTGTTAATTAACGTATCGAGAAATAACTCGAGAAATGATATCGACGCATTCTCTTATTTGCGATTCCGTGATGACCAACGGCGGTGCCAATCTGATTATATGACCGTGCGTTGGTTTCGCGAGTAAACCCTCCTCTTTCAATTTCAAGCATACATCCATGGCATCGATGTCTTTTTTGATAACAATAGCGTTAAGTAGACCCTTTCCACGAACAAGAGTAACCACATCCTTTGGTAATTTTCCAAGCTCGTTCCTGAGAATATGTCCGAGCCTTTCAGCATTTTCCGCTAGTTTTTCTTCCTCGAGCACGCGAAGCGCTTCAAGGGCGACTCTACATCCTAGAGGGTTGCCACCGTAAGTCGAGCCGTGTTCGCCAGGCTTTATAGTTAACATCACAGAATCGTTGGCGAATACACCAGAAACTGGATAGAAACCACCGGACAGAGCCTTTCCAAGAATCAAAATGTCTGGTTTTACATTTTCGTGATCTACCGCCAATCGTTTTCCTGTCCTTGCCAAACCAGTTTGCACCTCGTCGGCGATCCATAAAACGTTATGCCTCGTACATAATTCTCTCACACCCTTCAGATAGCCATCCTTAAGAAACAATATACAAGTTAACGAAATTGTATAAAGACAGTTATTAAGATTCTTAATATTATAATAAGCAACATTTTGAAACGAAATAACGAAGCGAATGGAACGATATCTAGTTGTTCTAGTGCCAGTAGCAAATAAAAAACAACGTACTGAATTTTAAGATTACTCTCGCGTGTAAAATAAAAAACGTGATTTGTCGTATTCTTTCCTGCGATCTTCGTGTTATAATAAATCGAAATTATTAGCGCGTATCCTGATCGGTTCGAATAAGCGAGGTTCTACTGTATAAATCACATTGATCCGAATGGTGCAATTAATATTTTATTTTTTGATAATTAAACGAGAGTTACGATACCTTCGGTACGACGACGCCAGCTTCGCCTTGAATAGGTTCCACCATGAAAGCACAAACCTGAGGATCGGCTAAAACCTGTTGAAGCGCCGTAAGATCGTCGTATGGAACGAGCTCGAATCCAGGCATAAATGGACCGAATCCACCGTAACTAGTTGGATCCGTGCTTGAGGATATCGCGCTCATCGTTCTGCCCCAAAAATTGCCTTCCGCGAAAACGATCTTCGCTTGATACTGCGGTATACCTTTGCACGCGTAACCCCATCTGCGTGCCAGCTTACAAGCGGTTTCGCCACCTTCTACTCCTGTGTTCATCGGAAGCCATTTATCGTACCTGAACATTTGATATTCCATTCCGTCATTTACGATATCGATTATTAAAGATACACGGGAAACGAAATTTCATTTATACTTTACTATGTTAGTAGACATTTCTGACATACATATAGTAGACCTTGATTTATCTGAACTCATTCGTATAGGTATAATACTGCTTGAAAGTATTCGATGTAGTTCGAAGTGTTCGAAAGTATTCACATCCAGATGCACAAGTGGATTCGTTCGGTAAAAATTCGCTCGATGGGGTATTAAACAAAATTCCATTTTAATGAATGGAATTCAGATACACTGTCAAAAGTATCTGAACATTTGCTTATTCTTGATAGGATATAATTTAATTACAGAAACACGATATGACACGACATTTGAATAATAATCAATGGATATACAATGAGATATTGTCATCTATAAATGTTACTATCTCCAAACTATTTAAATTGTTTCTACAATACATATCAGATAAGAAAGGCTTTTTCTTCATTTATGTGCTGGTTAATTTAAGCAGTAATATTTGAGACCAGTAGATATATCGATGATTTTTTAATATACCGTCAGTCAATTTTCAAACGAATATTTAAAATTTATTAGTTGCAGGTTCGATGAAAAGATAATAAATATGTATTAATTTTAACCATCAGTCCGTTATCAATTTTCTATCAACATTCCGTACATTTATGAGCGGCAATATAATTGGAATTCTAGCGCACATTACATTTTCGTTCCCCTTCCACAATCGCTATATTATAGGAAGATATGTCGATTATCTGATGCCAGATGCGAGAACAGACGTTGTATAAACGCATGTGAGAACGCATTATCACAACTTGTACAAAAGGTGCAAATGAACAAATAAAAGGAGTGGCAAGAGGAATGTAATCACACAGTAGTCTTACTCACCCGAAAAGTTTCGTAATATATTCTTCAAATTCTCCCAATGCATCCGAGTAAAAAGCCCGCGAAGTTAATGTCAAAACCTTCGCTTGTTCGACCAAAGCCTTGTAAATTCTCGGATGGCAATGGCCTTGATTAACGGCAGAGTAGGCACTCAGAAAATCATAGTAACGTTTGCCTTCGACGTCCCACATGAAAACTCCTTCCGCTTTGCATAACGCAACAGGCAGCGGATGATAATTGTGAGCACCGTATTTTGATTCGCGTTCGAAAATTTCTTGTGACGTTATAGTTCGATGATTTTTCTCGGCCTGCGATCGGAGTTAAAATGTAGACGATTTTGCAAAATTGAAGGGCTCCTAACGAAAACGAGGCTTGTCTGCGCCTTTTTCAGAAAAGTGGAAGAATGCTTAATTTAAAAGAATGTCCTTAATTTCTGTTCAACACGTCTCGATCTTTTGTACAAAATATTCATCATTTTACATAATTACTTAATCGCTGTAAGCGTATCTGTGATCATATCGTAGAAAAGCTTTGTCTGATTAAATCATGAAATTGTGGAACCATGATAAGGATTACGTTCCTCCACGCGGTTAATCTTCATTCTACGATAAATCAGAGTCTACTGGTTTTATAGTTATCAGACGTATGATAGATCTGATTATACTTTCATAATACTGATTCTATCATGTTGTGAATCTCGGTTGTTGCTTAAAAAATTAAAGAATTTGACAAGAGTCATTTACGAGCCCATTTGCATATTGTTTGGTAAACCATCTATCGGATTTAATGCTGCTTATTACCTGATTGACCAGATTCAAAAGATATCCCTTTCTTTTAGATATCACGCCGACTTTTCTGAACATCGTGTTTATATATTTTATACGGACAACCGTATAATCCAGATCTCGCGTTAATCTAAAATTTGATTTAAAAAAATCGATGTTACGTACATAGATATATCAGGACAAAAACGTATAGCATATTTTCGTAATTAATTAAAAGGTTTTTCCAATTGGAACAGAAGCGGGATTGAGACATAAAAAATTGGAGAATCGCGCCAGAGTTAATAGGAACAATCCCTTAATGAAAATAGTTAATATGAAAGTATGTAGAAAAACAAAAATTATCCTTACATTATATATGCGTGACAAATACATTATATTGTATTATATTTAATTATGTCTTTGATGTAAATATACTATATCCATATTATCTTTTAATTAATTTCCGAAGATAATTTAACGTGACCAAAAATACATTCAAAGTTAAGTAGACAGATAATTTATGTAATACAGGATTAAAAAACAGTGTGTCCAGAATTTAGAAATTGCTCTTCTGCAAGAAACAAGAAATGTGATTTATCGTGCTTTTCTCCTGTGATTTTTACATTACAAAACAACGTAGAATAGCATTAAACTGCATATTCTCGAAAAACACACGAATTTAACAACAGACGCGCGAACAGCCACGCATTATCATCTCTACACAATCTCTACAATCACTTAAGAAGGTGATTTCAAGCTGTATGGTTTTTCTTAAGTATGAGAGAATAAAAAAGGTAACATTATCAGCAAGGATATTAATATTTGCCAGAAAAATTATCACGATTGCATTGTGTTATCGGCGCGGCAAAACAGGCTATCAACGGAATGTTTGTTTGAATTATAGGTAGATCTTTACCTTTATAGGAACCGGTGATCGCCCGTATTAGCGAGATCTACGCGTAGCTACCAGTAATCGATGAATACAACGACCGACTATTCGAAACTACTTTTCCTTCTGTGCTCGAATCTGCTTCAAACCAATACCCTCCCTCCCTATCTCTTTCATTCGCTCTCTAATCTGTAACAATTAGTTTGCGTTAGGTTTTTCCAAGATTGTCAAATTCTAAAAGATACACCTTGACGTGGCTAGTCTTGTTGCGCGGCTTACTGTTTCTCTCCATCGCATCGTACGTACGCTCGCGTCACGCCAGCTCTTCGTATCAGAGATAAGAAAAATGATATAATTATACAGCCTATCAGCGATGAAAGCAGCTCGTCTTGTTCAAATCCAAAATTCTCGACTATTTGTATTCGAAAGTAAATATGATAAGCTGATATACTTTCACCAACTAACATCGGATCGCAGTTCGTTTCGGTACAAAGCAATTCTGTAATATTTCGATCATATTTTACAAACGATACAATAATTACAGTAATTACATTATGAATGTTATAGTAGATAGTATAATCTGAATGATGAATAAAAACCATTTCAATATACGATAAACACGATACTAAAAACTATTACTTACCCTTCTTCTTGCTTTTAATTAAGTAACGATGAATGATGGAAAGATATTTATGACTATATACAACTATAGTTAGTTATAGTACAATAGTCTGGTATGATAACGGTAGTTTATCGAATACTCTGTCCTGCTAGCTACTGAATGCAAACATTGATGATACATATACAATTGAACATTACAGATAGTATGTGATTAGTACATAATATACAATAACGTTGTACATATTACCGTAAATGTTCGTCCTTGCTCCCTTGCTCGATGTATCCAACAAATGCCTTTTTCTCGAAACATCAATTATTTGTTAATAAAAGATAGATTATAATGTGTTCGAGTGGAAGACGCTAAAAATACATATATGGTATGCTCTTACATATGTTCGTAATCGTAATTCAGTAATCTCAAATTCCTAATAATTCTCTGATGTAATATATTTCAATTAATACATGCACTATGCATATATATATAATTCTCGCAACTTATAGCGTATACTTATATAGATGCCCTGTCGGTTTTACCCGCCAAAACAGTCCAACTGTCCAATTCGCCATGATTGTTTTTAGAGTCAGTGGAACGATTTAAACACGAGTATTGTGTTTGTTTTTGATTCTATTCTTTTATCTAAAGAATATTCTATTATCGTGAGTATACATTACTTGAAGATTAAATTTTTAATATGGACGAAAACGATGATTACGACGATTTACGAAAAAGAAACATAGCCGAAAGAAACGCTATCGTAAGTACTTTTGTTTGATTTAAATTTCTAACCTATAATTATCCGGTGTGTTTATTTGTATTCAACGTTGCAGTTTGCCGAATTTTTCAAAGAGTTAAAAGAACAAACGAACGATATAAAAGAACTGAAAAAAATACACAATGGTACCGAGAATTCAGAAAACGAACCACCTAAAAAAAGACGTAGAACTATTTCTCATTCTAAGAACGATCGTGTTAGAATGAAATATGTAAAGCTCGAATTTCGTAAGAAGTATAATACTAGAAGTAGATCAAGGAATATCTCCCAATGTGAAGAAGAAGAGAAAGAAAATGATATAATTGATCTTAAAAGCAATAAACCTAAACTCCAAGTTCTATTTCCATGGGCGAAGCCATTTCAACGATCGATCGATTTGATGAAGATGGGAGTGTGCGATGTAGATGAAGAGGAAGAGCAACGATCTATCAGCAGTGACGATGGGAGCAGTGATGATTTGTATGATATAACTAAAAAGCGAATATACAATGTAAACAGAGCTCCCTATGACCCAAATAACATACCATCCGTCAGTGAAATTACGGATGAAATGCTAGATAATATTGCAACCAAAAGTACTTCGAAGCAGTATTGTAAAATTAATGGAACATGCTGTCATCAGTGCAGGCAGAAAACGTTAGATACAAAGACTGTATGTCGTTCGGGAGAATGTATTGGACTTAGAGGGCAATTTTGTGGACCTTGCTTAAAAGGACGATATGGCGAAAGTGCCGTTGATGCATTAAAAGATCCTGTATGCCATATATTTATACATATATATATTTATTTTTTATTTTTGTTTCATAATTATTTATTTTGGTGCAAAAATTTTGCAGAATTGGGTTTGTCCACCTTGCCGTGGTTTATGTAACTGCAGTATATGTAGAACAAGAAGTGGTTTACCCCCAACTGGAATTTTAGCCCCTATTGTAAAAGAAGAAGGATTTTCGTCTGTTATGGATTACCTTCAATCTGCCGAAACAGATGACACATAATTTTCATTGATACAAGATGTATGGTTGTAATAATATAATTAAACCTCGTAACAAATAGTTTTTTACTGATGAATATAATATTTTTTAATCGATCGTACTATGTATGAGAAAACTTTACAACAAATATAATAAAATTGTTTTCTGTATTCGCGTCGTATACTTCTTTGTTTATAACTTTCTTTTCTGTCGCTATTTTACTGCAATAATGCCATAACGTCTTGGAGATAACATAGGATCAAATAAACGCAGTATCGCAATTTTAGAACACTGATTACTGTTCTGTAAAAATATTATTCTATCCAACATAATGGCTGCTTCTAATACAAGACCAACATGTATCCTTAACATTTGAAATATGTAAAACTTCTCCATTAAATGTGCATAAAGTTGAAACGTTTTTCTCAGTGCTTCTTGTGATGGTATCTAAGGATGCAAAAATTTTCTTAAAAAAATATTCGACTAAAATATTTATAATAATGTTATTGTTATACCTTCTCCAAATCTACCCCAAGTCTTGAAAATGCCCATTGAGCATAACTTGGAAAATCGTGTGATGGTCCGCCGCGACCTACTCTAGCATTATAAATACCTATTAAAAAAGAAAAACAATAGTATATACTATATGAAATACATTCAAACTGAATTAATATAAAAACAAATATACCCAAGGAATGAAAAATGACTTGTAATATTGCTCTGTAGAACAATGATGAAGATACAGATTTGTTTTTTGTACTTCTTTCAACAGATTGTTGGGCTAACATTCTAGCATTTCTAGAAAAATTAATTTTTTTATTAAGTGTTTCATTTGTCAAATGGTAACAACAGGGAACTATACATAAAATATTAATGTCTTTTGTAGCTAAGAATGTTCGAATAATTGAGTCAGTGAGAGAACCACAAGTATGTAAACCAGTTAATATAAGATTTTTATTTATATCCCAATCGGAAAAATTTTCTTTTATCATTTTTATATAATCGGTTCTGTCATTAATTTCTTCAACTACATAGCGTACCTAAAACAAAGTACAATTTATTTGTAGTTCGTGTATTCAAATGTAGTATTTTATAAAAATTTAATACATTGTTACTACCAGCATTGGAGAGAGTATCAGCTTCTTCCGTAATTTTTTTTGTCTACAGATTGCTCCATTACTACATAATTGTGAAGAATCTATTGCAAGAACAGGAACTTTATGATTCTCTGCTAAAAATGTTGACAGATATGCTTTTCCAGCACCAGCATCTATTACTAGATTATTTGTTCTTGCAGCAACTTCCCCAATAATGTTTCCAAGGGATTCAACCTCGTGCAACTTTTTTGTATTTATAAATTCTATCTTAATATTTTCACACATACATTTCTTCTGATTATTTATATCTGGTAATGTGTTTAAAAAATCTTTTGAATTTGTTTCTATAGAGCATGATTGCAAAGATAAAGATTTTGCTAACTTTATAAAATTATTCAATGTAGGACAATTGTCATTTTCTGTCCAACTAATCCAACTGAGTTCATTCTTCTCTAATTCTGACCTTAAGGCTTCTGGTAAACATGTTGTCCATAAGTTCTCAGTAATAAAATCAACTATATGACAATTTGCCAACTTATGATATGTGTTAATGAAATATATAATTTCATCGAAATGTTTATCATACATGATTTTAATATTTATCACATTTAAACTTGGTACAATATGGTATAAATTCTGTCCAAATAACAATGTTTATTATGATTGTTAAAAATGAAAAATATTATGAAGCCCAGATACAGTTCTACAATATTGTTCCACTCTTTATTTATTTAAATATATTCTCATACAATTAAAAATCGAGTTTATCCACTTCTGGATATGACGAAGATATTTTTGTCAGTGCACAAAACTTGGCATATTTAAATTTAATATTATCTACAATTTTCAATATATCCACCGTCTCATCATTAAATTTAGGAAAATTATAAATATCCTGCAAAAGTGTTTTTGCAATGGAAACAGCTTTCTCCGAATTACATCTATTGGTAGTTAAATATTGTTCCAAAATACCACTGTAATATCCCAATTGTGCACCTACCAAACTACCCCTGTGATATCCAAAATGAAACCCATTTTCCAATTGCTTTTTGCCAACCTCAAAACCTTCTTCGTAACCTACGGATTGGGCATTTTCTTCGACAAATAGTAAATCTTCTAACTTCTTATTTATGTCTATATCTTCTTTATCAGACATAATTATTATTATGTATCTATTGAGTACATTGAATAATCTAATTCGATTAAAAAAATCTAATATGATTCTTAACTAGCCTAGCTCTAATTTATAATTGGTACTGTCAGAGTACTATGAGATGGAAACATGAGATGTAAGTATGGGAGCAATTGTAAATACGTATCGAATAATTCCGAGTATACACGAGCATGTCTACCAACCTTTAAAGTCACTATCTGCTTCGTTCATGGTTAACAGTAAATATTATCAGATCGGTTAAGGTTATAAGTAACGAAAAACAAATATATATTTCTGAGTTTTTATTAGGAAATACTTATTTATAGACTGTAAAAGCCTATTTGATGTTGAAGAAAAAATTCACGAACGTAAATCGAAATATTCCTGTATTGGAATAATATGGCTAGAACCAACTTCAGAGGTGTGTCATGTTTGCAACAAACGCGGTGTTCTTTCTTGTAGTGCGTTCAACAATTTTTTAAGTTAATATTTCATAAAGGATGCTCGCGTTAGGACCTAAAAAGGACGGTGGACCCAATACGAAGTTTTTTGAGTCCCAAGAAATTCTTACACAACTCGATGGAGTTAAACAATGGCTTTTGAAAAACTGCAAAAAGGTACATCCAAACGCCCGGCGTCGAAGTATTTGGTCAACTGCTTACTAGTTTATGTGCTATATTAACAATCTTTTACTTTACTTTTTAATTATTCTATTATTCCATCTGTAATTTACTACGATTATATTTTTATTTTCGAATTAATGTAAATAGTAAAAATAATAATAAAGGTTAATATCATATATAGATTAACTATTTGTTATATTTATTTTCTAATAAAATATTGCTTTTATGCACAGAAATGTCATTTTCATTAATGTAGCATGTGAATATTTTATTTTATTTTATAAATTATATGTAGAATCACACATAAATGTATATATATATGATATTTATATATACCTAACTTAATTGAATGTTGTGTGTATATATATAATGAATATAAATATAATTGTTTGAACATCTTTTGATATTTGCCTTATACCTCTCTCAAATATCTTTTTAGTACGTTCAAACGGATCCTCCTACTAATAAAAGCTTAGCTACATTGATAGTACAATTACTACAATTTCAAGAAGATAATTTAGGAAAGAATGTTTCAAAACCTCCAATGACAAGACTTCCTGTATGTATTTATTGATTGATACAATGGAAAGTATCTTTTTTTAAACTAACCAAATCATTTATTAAATTTTCAGATGAAATGTTTCCTAGATTTTAAACCTGGAGGTGGACTATGTCATATTCTTGCTACAGCATATCGTTTTAAGCAAGAACAAGGGTGGCGTCGATTTGACTTCCCTGTTGGAAAGGTAAGTATGATATTATAAACATAATTTAACAATTCTTTACACATACAAATAAATGTTGTTTTTTAGTCAGGATCTCGTATGGACAGAACAGTGGAAATGTTAATGGCAGCTGAACGAGCCTTGGTACAAAATCGTTGTATGATTATACCAAGTGTATATGTTAGACCTGATGTAGACAAATCAACTGCTGCGAAAGTAAAAGAAGCAGTTCGTCGACATCAAGGTAGTATTGTTGAAAATGAAGCAGATGCGACACACATAATTTACCCCCCGGTTGACCCTATGGAAGAAGAGTATGCACGGCCTTGCATGAGACGAGAAAGATCTGTTCTTCTTCATTGGTATTATTTCCCAGATAGTTACGATTCTTGGACTGCATTGGATCTTCCTTGGGATTTTCCAGAAGGCACACTTACAAATACAAACATGAAATCGATATACAAAGTATCGGCAACGTGGGCGTTAGATTTAGATCAATATAACGAATGGATGAACGAAGAAGATTATGAAATAGATGAAAATGGTCAAAAAAAAATACATAAATACCGACTTTCCGTAGAAGATTTAATGGCTCAGCCATCTCATCCTCCGCCTTCAGCAAAAAAACCAAAACGGAAACGATCTCCTAGTCCATCACCGAAACCGGGAAAGCGTAAAAGCGCAAGAGGGCCATCAGGTGTCCAGAGTACTTCGTCTTCGTCGTCACTTACGGCTCCAAAAAAATCACGCGGCGGCGGCGAAGAGGAAGATGATCTCACCCAAGGAATGGAAGATCCACCGGCAGAACCTCGGATTGTAGAAGTAGTTGCAACTCCTACAAATCCTCCTGTAACTGGTCAAGGTAACATTCCAACAAGCGGCACTGCTTTGACTACAACAGGCAGTAAAAAACAAGACAACGAGCTTCAGCCGCTCAAATCTGGTAATATGGCAGACTTAGACGAACCTATGGAAGGAGATAAGGGAAGTTCTCAAAGTACTCAAGATAGGGAAGAACGAGACGCAAGCAAAGAAAGAGGAGAAGGAAATAAAGGAGACGAACCAGAAGATAATGTTACTGAACAAACACATCATATAGTTGTCCCTAGTTATTCTGCTTGGTTTGATTATAATTCGATTCATACTATAGAAAAGAGAGCTTTATCTGAGTTTTTTAATGGTAAAAATAAATCTAAAACACCGGAAATTTATCTTGCATACAGAAATTTTATGATTGACACGTACAGATTAAATCCTACAGAGTACATTACATCGACAGCTTGTAGACGTAACTTAGCAGGCGATGTTTGTGCAATTATGCGTGTGCATGCGTTTTTGGAACAATGGGGACTTATTAACTACCAGGTAGATGCAGAATCAAGACCGACACCTATGGGACCACCTCCGACGTCACATTTCCATGTATTATCAGATACTCCATCAGGTTTAGCCCCCGTTAATCCAAATCCTCCGAAGACACCACAGCCTTCTGCTGCGAAGACATTACTCGATTTAGAAAAAAAGTCATCCAGCTTGGGAACAGAGGAGAAAGCCTCAGCTGGTGTGATGGCAAATTTTGGATTAAAAATCGATCAGTATTCGAGAAAACCAGCAGTTTTGAAAAACAAACAAGCTGCTGGCGCTACTCGCGATTGGACAGAACAAGAAACGCTTTTACTATTAGAAGGACTAGAATTACACAAAGATGATTGGAACAAAGTTTGCGAACATGTTGGTTCGAGAACGCAGGATGAATGTATCTTACATTTCTTACGACTTCCAATAGAAGATCCATATTTAGAAGAAGGTGGACCGGAAGGCTTGGGTCCATTAGCTTATCAACCAGTACCATTTTCTAAAGCTGGCAATCCAGTTATGAGTACTGTAGCATTTTTGGCTTCGGTCGTTGATCCCAGAGTTGCAGCAAGTGCAGCTAAAGCTGCTATGGAAGAATTTGCAGCCATTAAGGACCAAGTACCAGCAGCTTTATTAGATCAACACTTGAGGAATGTTCAAGCTAGTGCTAACTCTGATGGTAATTAATTCTTTTCCTATTCTTTTCTTATCGCAACAGAGTATTGAATAACTTTGAGTAATATCTTGAAATAATAATTATTTTTCAATTATTTAGGTAAGTTTGATCCAGCTGCAGGACTAGCACAATCAGGTATAGCTGGAACAGGTCCACCCGAACCCCCGGACGATACAACACCACCTTCAACTACTGGAAACGTTCCAGCAACAGTGGCCACATCTCCACATTCGGCAACAACAGCTTCTATGGAAATGAAAAAGGAGGAACAAGAAAAACCTAAAGAATCTGAAATTGAGCAAAGTCAATTAGATATAACTAAAAAGGAAGATGAACTAAAAGAAACTGAAGAAGATACAAAATCAACTATGGATGCTGAAACTATGGAGGCGAAAGAAAAGAAAGACAAGGTAAACTATTATTTTACGATGTCATCTTTATTAAATATTATTATATTTATGCATTGTCTATTGTCATCTTTTTTCTTTGTTATAGGTGGTGCGAGACGCTCAACTCCAGTCTGCAGCCGCAGCAGCGTTAGCGGCA